CTTAGTGTAAGAAACTGAAAGATTCCAGTAAATAAGATCTAAAAGGCACAATAGATATTGTGAAAAGGAAAGAAACTGCTCAAGATGAAAGAACAACTGGGATGACAGAAAGGAGAAAAGAAGGAAGGGCAACAAAAAAATTGTGTGTGTGTTTGTGTATAAAAACACACAATAGCTAAGATAATTATATTACTAATTTTTATTAGTTCATTGAAAAGAACAGTATGTGCTTATATTATTTGATCAATTTGTCGTGCCTGTATCTTATAATCTGAGCAAGTACATGAAGACAGCAACAGGCATTATATTAACAATTATTAATCTCCTATTTTGTTATTTTGAAATTTTATATTATTGGTTTTATTGTTTTCTTTTTCTTTAAGATAAAAAAGTTAAAATCATCTTCTTTTCTAAAGAGAATCTTAAGAAATTGAAAAGAAGCCACAGAATGAAATAAGTTGTTATATATCCATACCATATACTACTCCTTTGCAATAGAAAGAATGAATTATTTATAGTTGGAAAACTGTAGATAAATATCATAATTATAGTACGTGAAAGAAGCAAGAGAAAGATTACATACTGTGTAATTCTAATTACACTAAATGCTAGAAAATTAATCTGTTATTAACCAACCTGTAGTGACAGAAAGTAGACCAGTCACTGCCTGCAAGTGGGCAAGGATGGTAAAGAGAAGCAAGGAAGGATTACAAAGGGTCATTGTGTAAAGTTTTGGGGATAATATATTCATTAATTTGATTATGCATGTCATGGGTATTGTACATGTCTAAGAACTTATTAGATTTTGTTTACTTTAAATTTACAATTTATTGACTATCAGTTAAATACCAATAAAGCTATAAAAATGTGCTGCACATTCTTATTTTTCTGAGAAAATTATAAGGAAAAACATATATACATATTATATAGGTATCCTTTTCCAAAGGGCTGTGTAGGTGCCCTGAAACCCATCAGATAGCTTTAGTGTAGGAGAATAGTTTCTTTTGTTTGTATTCTTCATGCAGTTTAATAAGGTCTATATTAATCTGTTGGGACAAAATTAATAATAATTCAGGACCCAAAAGAAACTGTACTGGTGCCTTTTCTGAAATGGACAAAATAAGGGTATTGTTGAAGTTCTGCATTTAGCCAAACTTGCTCAATAAATTCTTTCACTCATACCTTATTTCACTATCATTTGTAACAATTGTGGGTGATAATTATTACTGACATATTATTATATCTTGGAGTTAGAGCAGTCCCATAATAATCTCAATATTTGAGATTTTTATTGTCTGGACAATCAGTAAGTTTCAGTACATTTTTTAGGGATCAAATGCCCAATCTGCAACCCAAAACCCAGTTATGTATCACGAAGTGCCAACATGGCAGTTAAACTTGAATACTGAGCTTTTAGTTAAAAAAAAAAAAAAAAAAAAAAAACAACTCATGGGTTAACAGCTTTTGTCTTAAAAATAGTACATTACCCATGCCACAGATTTACCACCATGGGTATACAATATGCATTTTTTCCTGTGCTTACAAACTAACACATTAGCCTATTAATGTTTCATGGATGTTAGCAAAAGACACCAGACCCCTGAGTCAGAGAAAAAGCTCTTCTTTACTTATGGTGAAAATAGTAGTAAGAGTTTGTGTTCAGTTTGTTCTGGGTCCCAGGTCTCCAGGGCTCATGCTAGGTGCTTGTCTGTACAGTGGGCTGCAAAAACAGCAGCTTGAGTTCAGAGGATTCACAGTTTTATACTGAGTTTCAATCTGCCCGGATTTTGTGTGTGCAAAATGATACCTGATCCCTTAGTGCTAATCCTGAGAAATGGCCTGGGTAAAAGGTGATCAGGCCTTGCCCTTGTACCCAGTAAGAGTGGACCCAGCAAAAGCTTATAGAGCCCAAGACACTGGAGAGCTGCATAGGCACCTGCCACTCCTGCACACATCCGGGTAGAAATGGCAGCCAGAGATGCCGGTGCACTGCTGAAATGAGCCGTCCCTGCGGCTGCCTCACTCTGTCACTCCTCTCAGTTCCCCATACAGCCCTGCTGTCTTCATCTGACAGAACTGAGTTTTGTACTGTTATGTATCTTTCTGGGTTTGCCTTCTCTGCCTTTAGAAAATCCAACATACTCCATGAGACATGATTCTCAAAGATTTTATTGTTGTATTTTCAGAACTTCTGACTTCCTAGATTTCATAGAATTGTTCGTTATTCTAAAAGTCCTCAAGAGCACCATGCTTTAAGAAGGATTAGAATCACCTTTCCTGTATCCTTTCCATTCCCTAAAGCCTTGTATTATCATGTGGGTGAGATTTATCTGTCAGCGTCAATAGTAAATATTTACTGAGCTGAATACCTGTGTGCTCAAGGTACTCGGGAAAATGTGATTTAAGGGCTTCTGGGCACTTTAAATGCATCCCCTGGGTAGAAACACAAGTAAGGCCAAAAAAAGAGCATTTAAAAATAACTTCTCAAATCTTCAGGGATAGGAGATGCTGTTCTTTCTTATCAATTGTTTCAGATCTGTCCTT